ATGACAAGAATAATGTCACTACTGTTAATAACTGCATTTCCCAGAAAAGCGGCTGTGTTTCCTTTTCTTCGTCCTATCCCTCCAGCTTGGAGATGACACCCTTTGTATCTGCCTAGCCACAACCCACCTGTCCTTGAAGGTGCTCCCCACCAAGCCTTCCCAGGTGGTTCCCGCCCACAGAGCACTATTAGCATGAGTATTAGTGGTAGGAGCTAACGTTTTCTTCATTCTCACAGTGTGCCAGTACTGTGCTGAGTGATAGAAAGGTGTTACCTCATCTAATTCTCATGGCTTTCCTATAAGGTGAACATCGTCATTATTCCCATTTTGTTAGATAGGAAACTGAGGCTAACAGAAGTAAAGTAATACATCTGGAATGTGACAGAAGCCCCCAGGATGGGACCCAAGCTATCTACCTTTTGAGCACCTGGTCAGGCTCTCCATTTCCATCTCCTTGCCTGGTGTCCTCGAATGCACTATAGATAATGCACAACATAGCACCTGATTATAGCTATCCTTTCCCAGCTCTAGTGTGTTTGGCTTTTTTGCCCTCTTAGATTGTATATTCCCATGGTTAAGATTCAGAAAAAGAGTCTTGGGCTGGATTCTGCAACTTGCTAACTGTGTGCCTCTCTCAGCCCCAGTTTCCAGGGGCGCCCACCTCATAGGACTGTGGTGGGGATTAAAAGAAAATAATGTATATAAAAGACTCAGACTAGGACCACCCACGGTGACAGTGCAAACCACTTTAGATATTATTGGTGTTATGGCAGTGAGCACACCCTATATCCATGGCATGGCTAAATGGTTTTCTAAAAAATTGTTTTCTAGGGACTCTGGGCTGCTCTTTATCCATTTTTGCCTCTGTGGACTTGACTTAGCCAACATCGTCTCCCTCCCCAACCCATCAACAAAGTTGGACGTTTTATGTCTATGCTCTGCCCTTCAAAGTACAAGGACTTTTGCGCATGAGCAGACCTGGCAGCAGTCTAATCTCTGCAGCAAGAGAAGCTTGGAGTGGGATGGGAGGCGGTAAACTGGTCTGAACTCCCCACTGGCCTCCTACTCTTGGCTTTAGGTAATTCCGACTCCTGGCGTCAGTTTCCTCATCTGTCACAAAAAGAAGATGAACCAGCTGACCTCTGAGGGCTCCTCCAATCTGTAGCTAAGACCCTTAGATATCTTCTTTTGAAAGAAGGAAATCCCAAGCACTAAGGTGTTGTCACCATTGCTATTGTATATTCTTCGTGCTTTCGATGTGTGTGTTTCTGTGTGTGTGTGTGTGTGTGTGTGTGTGTGTGTGTACTAGGTGTTCGTGTGTGTCTGTTTTCTTTGTGTATGTGTGAGTGTGTATATGTGTGTTTGTACATGAGTGTATTTGTGTGCATCGGTGTGTGACTACATGAGTATTTCTGTGTTTTGTGTATATCTACTAGTATGTATGCGTGCAATCGCACAGGGTGAAGCTGCCCAAACCCAAGTGACAGGGAAGTGTGGTCAGGCCACCTGTGCCTTCCGCACCAGCGACTCAGGCTGGGGTTCCCTAGCCTGGGTGCAGCCCTCTCTGGGAGAGGCCAGAGCCTGGAGGCGGCCAGGCGG